AGTATATATCTATTAAAAATATCTTTAAAATATTTCAAATTCAAATTTATATATTAGAAATTATTCAATAACGATCATCAGAACATGAACGATACACATAAAAATGAGTTCAATTGTTTCTTATTGTTACTTATTCATTTATTATTTTCTCTTTTGCTTTTTTTATGTTCTATTTCTCTCATCTCTTTTATTTTTTATTTTTTTCTTAACCAAGAAAAAGTTTAAACGAGCACACGCTCGTTATTATCCGACATATTCCATAACGTGCAGTACCATGCCGTACCAAACTGTACCCAGTAAAAATGTTTTCTATTTAACTGAAGTTTATTATAGAACTCTCTCCCTTTATACTTTGTCGACTCCTTTAAATCGTTTTCAAATGGATGATATTTAACTGCACGTTTCCAAATATTCTCTCCGATGAATAAATTACGATCGTTTAATTTAATTGGAATTGTTTCGCTTTATTAAACATAGTTTGGAAAACAAAACAACAAAATAATAATAATAATAATAATTACTGCTACGTTTTTATAATTATCAAACGAATGTATTTGTTTTTTCTGCTAAAGAAAAGAAAAAAAAGAGAAATAGTGATCAATTTTTTATTCACGATAGTTTGAAATTATTAACTTACGGTATTTGTTTTTTTTGTACAATTCGACTAAATTTAATAATACAATTATTTAATTAACATTGTTAATCGTTTGTTTTTATTTTACAAAAAAGTTTTTGCGAAATAATTTGTGATATAATATCGTATTAAAAATTCAGCTGTGATTTCATAGTACTTCTTTTTGATTACTTAGAAATAAAATAACAATTATACTAAACCTTAACACTGAACCTAACGCGACGATTCATCTATACTTAGTCCTATCGTTTAAAAATAAATAAATAACATATATATGTTAATATAGAATAAAATTTTAACCAATTGGATAACGCAAAATATATTTTCCTTTATTTATAAATGATCTATAATAATATAATCTACATCTTGTTTGTTTAAAAATTACAAAATACGAGTAATTTGATTCGAACGTGGTTGAGATTTAATGTTAATTCTATTATCAAAATTATGTGTCAAAATAATTCATAATTTATTTTATTGATAATAAAAAAAATATTAAATAATTTATTGATCAGGTGTGTTTTATATATTTAATGTTAATTATTCTATTATATAAGAGATTTTATGCGTGTGTATGTGTGTGTGAATAATAATTAATAATTATTTTTTTTTTTTATTAAAAAGAAGAAAAAAATAAAAAAAAATGTTTAATAATATATTGATTACGTTGAAGGTCGACGGGCATGGCGCGGAAACGGTTCCAGAACTCGACGAGGAGATGGAGAAGGTTTTCGCGATGGACGTCGGAGAAAAATTCGACGTAGCCCGGCTTGGTTCACCCACGGAATCAGCAGGATCCGAACGTGATCGTGATCGAGGACCACCACGATATGGAGACCATGACCTTAATCGTAATTAATCCCAATTTTTCTAACTGATTTAATTATGTCACCTTTTGTGGTGCTTGACAACAACAAAAATTAGATATATTAAAATAAACATTTTTCTTTTGGTTGTTTTTTCTTTTTTTTTTGACGCAGCTATTAATAATAATAATATAATAATAATAAATAATAATATAATAATAAAATAATATAATACAAAATAATTTTTTTATTTTACACGTATGCGCGTAATAGTTTTATGAATAATTTGAAATATTATTAGTTGGGGAGGAGGGGAGGGGGTGGTTGTACCAAAAAGTAATGTCATTTATCTTTTTTGTTATTATTAAATTCAATACCTTTCTTAATTGTGTTTTTTTTAATGTTAACCCTCCCTTAAATCAAATATCAAAGATACATTGTTGTTTTCGTTTAAATTTTTCGATAAACAAAATCAATGTAATGCTTCTACGATATGTTGTAAAAGAAAAATAAAATAAGTAATATTATTTATATGTTTACATATGTATATATTATTTTATATATTTTTTGCAGAACATCGTAAAAGAAGTTATCCACATCCCCACATGCCACTAAAAAGTTTACACTCGAGATCTATGAGACGACATCTTTCACCGTGAGTTATTATTTATTATCAATTGTTCTCGCTTTTTTTTCTTTCTTTTTTTTTTTGCTTAACAATATCAACAATAATAATCAATCGTTATTGATTTGATCAATAATTATTGTTGTTGGAAATAAAATGTTTAACATTTGAAATTTATATAATATTTTATATCAAATTAATCTTATTTATATAATAACAATATGTGTATGGTGGTATGATAAATATACCATTTATATTGAAAAATAAAATTTACTATAAAAATATGAAATATATTATAAATACAAATAAAAACAAGTATTATAACTTATTTATAATATTAATTGATATACAATTTTGCTTCCGCCATTTTCCTATAGATGACTCATAAAACCTAATATATATTAATGAGTTCCATATCATTAAAAATAAATTTCTCGATATGAGAATTAATTACAAAAATAAAATATTGACTATTTCAACATAAATTTTTGATCAAACCCATAACTATATTTTTGTCGTTTTACTATTAATTGTCTTCCCGTACAATTAAATTAATAATAAATAATTTAAATCTTATTTATTTCCACCGTTATTATTTACAAATTACAAGATGCCATGTCATTTAATC